TAAGAGCTGACATTTCTTGAGCACTTACCATATGCTGGGTGTACTACTCTAAGCTGCTGCGTACAATTATGATTTGGGAACAACTCTGAAAGTGCTGTTACCTCCCATTTTATAGAAGAGGAAACTGAGGTTCAGAGAGGTTAAGTAACCCCCTGAAGGTCACTCAAGAAGTAGTTGGTGGTCTGGGATTCAAACACCAGAACTGTTCTGACTTCCCACTCTTTAAACCACACTCAAAACTGAACTCTCCACATGTGTGTGTTCTGGGCATTTTTGCATCTTCTCCCTTGGCTTGTTGACAGCCTGGACTTTTGCTTTCCCCATTCTCAGAGAACATGGCCAGTGCAGGAGGAGGAAATCCACACTGGTCTTTGGACTAAACCAGAGGCTGGCGATGGTCCCGAAACAGGTTGCCAAGTGGCTGACCCTTGTTTTTATGCCTTGTGCTGGTGAGCCCGGGGCACCAGGAGCTCTTTGAATTTCTCTTTCTTGACTGTCCACGCCTTCTTGAGGCAATCTTTTAACAGGCTAGGTTTTAAATCTTATTGACATCTCTGAGGAAAGATAGAGGAGGAAAAAAAAAAAAATCAAGATATGGCCTTGGAGAGAAGTGGCAGGTTTTCTTTGAGATTTTTTTTTTCTTTTTTCATTTTTATTTTGTGCACATTGCAAAACCTCTTTGGGATGATGATTTCGTGTGGTTTCTTGGTAGCCCTTGGGCAGCTGCTGCTGGGTTTCACCCAAATGCATCGTGACCCCCTGTTTTGTGGGACAGCTTTGCCTCCACATGGCTGATTGTGCTCTGTGTGTCTGCTGTGGGCAGAGTGGGATTGTAAGAATCAGAATTCTGCTGGGCTTCAAGCATTTAAAAAATCTCTTGGCTGGGCGCGGTGGCTCAAGCCTGTAATCCCAGCACTTTGGGAGGCCAAGACGGGCGGATCACGAGGTCAGGAGATCGAGACCATCCTGGCTAACACGGTGAAACACCGTCTCTACTAAAAAATACAAAAAACTAGCCGGGTGAGGTGGCGGGCGTCTGTAGTCCCGGCTACTGGGGAGGCTGAGGCAGGAGAATGGCATAAACCCGGGAGGCGGAGCTTGCAGTGAGCTGAGATCCGGCCACTGCACTCCAGCCTGAGCGACAGAGCGAGACTCCGTCTCAAAAAAAAAAAAAAAAAAAAAAATCTCTTTAGATTTGAGAACAGGTTGGAAGGGAGAGATGCAGTGACTTAGAACACCCGGCCTGCAGCTCAGCTTCCGTGTGCCTGGGAGGAGCCCATATGGAGAAACAGGAAAATTCCACTTCACCAGAAAGCTGGGGAAATGACTGAGTAAGGTGTAGGAGTAGGGGCCAGGCTGGTTAACTAGGAAGGCTTTTGGTCACTCTGCTTTACTTAGCCTGAAGTGTTCATTTCCCCCTTAAGCAGTGGTTAATACGCATATCTACAGATTTACTTTTTGGATGATTTAAAATCTTGCAGTATCTCAAGGGATTGTATCCTGATGATGGTGATTATATTAATAACAAGATAATAGCTTATAATATAATAGCTAGCAATTACCAAGCACTTACCATCCACCAGGCACAATGCCAGGCATTTGATCCTTACACGAACTCTGAGAGATGGCTGTTTGTATTCCCATTTTACAGATGAGGGAAGCTGTGCTCAGAGAGGTAAGATCATTTGCCCCGGCTCACCCACTTTGAGATGGTCTGCTTTTAGATCCTCTTAGCCCAACTCTTTTGGATGTGAGCACTTGGCATGTATTAGGCACTGGATAAATGTTTTGTTGAATGAATGAAATGTTGGAACTTGGATTTGAACCCTGGTCTGAGCTGGCTTTAAGTCTTCACAGTAGTAGGTCCAGTTAGTGAACTGTGGGGGCTCGGTAGTCCAAAGGGAAAGGAGCAAGGAGACATTGTAGCGGTCGAGAAGAGGGCTCCTGGGGTGTTTCCTGGGCACACTGGCAGTAAAGGCATAGTGTGACGTGCCTTTCAGGACAATGTGCTGGATTAGCGTTTTTCCTCTCCACTTCCGGTGTTCGTGATTGGCTTTGTGCCCCCGTGTCTGCAAAGTGAGTTTTGCTGAACTCGGGAAGACCTTTTGGTTGGGATGACTGTGTATTCACCTGCACCTGAGCAGGGACTGAGTTTCACACGCCAGTTTTACCGCAGCAAGACCTCACTAAGTTGGCTTCCTCTCATTTGGGCGTTTGGGAAACCTTAGGCGGCTGGAGTTTAATTCTCAAGGCAAAGCCTCTTTTCAAGGGACATGAAGAAAGGCAGAGAGATATATTTAAAATACCTGAATGAACTATTTCTTTTTTTTTTTGAGACGGAGTTTCGCTCTGTCGCCCAAGCTGGAGTGTAGTGGTGCGATCTCAGCTCACTGCAACCTTCGCCTCCTGGGTTCAAGTGATTCTCCTGCCTCAGCCTCCCGAGTAACTGGGACTGCAGGCATGTGCCACCACGCCCAGATAATTTTTGTATTTTTTGGGGGGGTGTGGGTGGTGTCTCGCTGTGTTGCCGAGGCTGGAGTGCAGTGGCACGATCTCGGCTCACTGCAAGCTCCACCTCCCGGGTTCATGCCATTCTCCTGCCTTAGCCTCCCAAGTAGCTGGGACTACAGGCGCCCACAACCGCGCCTGGCTAATTTTTTGTATTTTTAGTAGAGACGGGGTTTCATCGTGTTGGCCAGGATGGTCTTGATCTCTTGACCTTGTGATCCACCCGCCTCAGCCTCTGAAAGTGTGGGATTACAGGCGTGAGCCACCGCAACTTGTTCATTTGCATGTAGACAATAATGGCAGGTCACTATCAGTGGGTCTGTTAATCAGGTGTCCAACCTGGGTAGTTTCTCTGTTGACTTAACTGCATTTACTTACAAACTCACTCACTTGCCGCTGGGCTTGGTGGCTCATGCCTGTAATCCTAGCACTCTGGGAGGCTGAGGCGGGCCGATCACCTGAGGTCAGGAGTACAAGACCAGCCTGGCCAACATAGTAAAACCCCATCTCTACTAAAAACAAAAATTAGCTGGGCGTGGTGGCGTGCGCCTGTAGTCCCAGCTACTCGAGAGGATGAGGCAGGAGAATGGCCTGAACCTGGGAGGCAGAGGTTGCAGTGAGCCAAGATCGTGCCACTGCTCTCCATCCAGGCTGGGCAACAAAGCGAGACTCTCACAACGAAACAGAACAAACGAACAAACAAAAAGTCACTTGCTTCTTATTTTGCTTGCTTATGGACATAAACCCTCATACCTCATGGGGGTGAGTTTGCAGTGGGTAGACTGCTATTCACTAACTCATATACATCCTATGAAGGAGTACAGGTTAAATAAGACTTATCCAAAATGCTTGGGGCTGGAAGTGTTTTACATTTTGGATTTTTTTTCAGATTTTGGAATATTTGCATATACATAATGAGATATCCTGGGGATGGGACCCAACTCTAAACAGGAAATTCATTTATGTTTTAAATAAACCTTTTTTTTTTTTGAGACAGAGTTTCACTCTTGTTGTCCAGGCTGGAATGCAGTGATGTGATCTCGGCTCACTGCAACCTCTACCTCCTGCATCCAAATGATTCTCCTGCCTCAGCCTCCCTAGTAGCTGAGATTACAGGAGCTCGCCACCATGCACAGCTAATTTTTGTATTTTTAATAGAGACGAGGTTTCACCCTGTTAGCCAGGCTGGTCTCGAACTCCTGATCTTAAGTGATCTACCCGCTTTGGCCTCCCAAAGTGCTGGGATTGCGATGTGAGCCACTGTGCCCGGCCTTATATAAACCTTAGGTAATTTTATACAATATTTAAATAATTTTTGTGCATGAAACAGAGTTTTGACTGCATTTTGACTGTGACTCCTCACTTGAGGTCAGGTGTAGAATTTTCCACTTGTGGTGTCAAGTTTCAGATTTTGAAGCTTTAAATAATGAGATAGGGTCTTGCTCTGTTGCCAAGGCTGGAGTACAGTGGCACGATCACAGCTCGCTGCAGCCTTGACCTCCTGGGCTCAAGTGACCCTCCCACCTCAGCCACCTGAGTAGCTGGGACTACAGGCATGCACTGTGACTGGATTTTTTTTTTTTTTTTTTTTTTTTTTTTTTGAGACGGAATCTGGAGTCTCAAGTCTCGCTCTGGTGGCCAGGCTGGAGTAAAGTGGTATGATCTTGGCTCACTGCAACCTCCGCCCCCCCGGGTTGAAGTGATTCTCCTGCCTCAGCCTCCAGAGTAACTGGGATTCCAGGCATGTGCCACCACTCCTGGCTAATTTTTGTAGTTTTAGTAGAGCCGTAGTTTCACCATGTTGGCGAGGCTGGTCTTCAACTCCTGACCTGAAGTGATCTGCCCACCTTAGCCTCCCAAAGTGATGGGATTACGGGCCTGAGTCACCGTGCCCAGCCTTGGCTAATTTTTTATATTTTTTGTAGAGACAGGGTTTCGCTATGTTACCCAGGTTGGTCTTGAATTCCTGGGCTCAAGCAATCTGCCCACCTTGGCCTCCCAACGTACTGGGATTATAGGTGTGAGCCACCGCTCCTGGCCGGAAGCATTTTTGGATTTTTGAGTGAAGGTTACATAGCCTTTACTGTTACTATCGCGATGTTATTATCCACATTTTACAAGCAAGGATCTGGAGGCGTAGAGAGGTAAAGACATTTTTTCAAGGCCCCAGAAGTACCAAGCCGCAGATTGTGAATTTGAACCCAGGCATTCTGGGTCAGAATTAGTGAGGTTTTAAGTTAGTTTTTTTTTTTTTTTTTTTTTTTTTAAAGTTAGAGTCTTGCTCTGTTACCCAGGGTGGAGTGCAGTGGTGTTATCTTGACTCACTATAAACTCCGCCTCCCAGGTTCAAGCGATTCTCCTGCCTCAGCTTCTTGAGTAGCTGGGACTACAGGCACGCATCGCCACGCCTGGCTAATTTTTGTATTTTTAGTAGAGACGGTGTTTTGCCATGTTGGCCAGGCTGTTCTCGATCTCCTGAACTTAGGTGATCTAACCGCCTCGGCCTCCAGAAGTGCTGGGATTACAGGCGTGAGCCACTGTGCCGGCCTACGTTTAGTTTTTAACCATGCTGCTTTTTCTTGAATCTTCTGTCAGTCAACTCCACAATGGTGAATCAGGGAGTTAGGTCTGGCTGTAAGAGAGGGCCCAGGTACTGGGTCAGATAGGTAAAGAGACATTCCTTAGTTCTTACTCTCTGCTACCAAACCATTTCTTGGGATCAAGCCCTCTTTGCCTGCGTCATTCCGCCTCCATTAAATTCAGCCTTCTTTCCACATCTTTCCACTGTTGTTGAAAACTTGAGACCTGAAATCCCATCTCCTAAATCCCTGGGAGCTCTAGAAGTAGAGATGGCCAGGTTCTGTGGTCAGGGCTGGTTGGGATTACAAATAAACCAAAGCCTGGGAAACTTTCTTGCTATTAATAGTGCAACCTTTTGGGGAGGGAATACCCAAACTCGATGCTGTTGGAATTGATTTTGCCTGTCCAGATGACATACTAATGAGCTAAGTGGTTAGCTTCGGATCATTATTGCTCCTTCCCAAGCCAAGTTCTTTTAAAGACTAAAACCACAAAAGCAGAGAACAAGTTGGGTTAGAGAGATTCCCTTCTCCACTCTGGAGAAGGGAGAGTGGTCAGCTCCGGCCTTAAAAATGAGAAAATAAAGGTGGTCCTTGCTTTGGAATGAGGTAGTGGTGCTGACTTATTCAACTGGTTTTTCTTTTTCTTTTTGGAAGTGGAATTTGATTTGGTGTCTGGATTTTGATGGGGGTATTTATATTTCTTCAGCACTTTTTGGTTCCTGCAGAAAGTTGCATTCCTAGTTCCTCAACTGCTTGTTTCTTTTTGGGTTTTGAAGCAGGAATTTGATTTGGTGTCTGGGTTTTGATAGGGGTGTTTATGTTTTGTCAGTGTCTTTTGGTTCTTTGAGAGTTTCTCTCCTCATCTGTCATGTGTCAGAGAGGGTGCCTGTCAACCACTCTCTCTCTCCAGGGAGAAAGTCTTCCTTAAAACAGCCCTAAGATCCTTATCTCCTCAAATCACCCACTTTGATGATAATATCCATTGTTCTCTTCTCTGCTTCTTGGCATATTCTAGTCAGTCTGTGTATACAATTAAAAAAACAACACAGCCCTCTGTGTCCGAAGTACTTGGAATATCCCAGTGTTTCACAGGAGACTTTGGAAGTGGACAAAACTGTATTTCCTTCCCCAAATGAGGTTATTGTGCTCGAAATATCTCCTGGTAGTTTATTAAAGGAAACCGCAGACTGGGGTAAGAGAGGCAGTTTCTACAGCCTGCAGCCCTGCTATCTTGCCTCTTCTTTTCGACCCTCTTTCCTCCCTCTCCTCTTCTCTCCCCTCCTCACCCTATTCAACCCACCCCCACATGTCATGCCATCCTCAGGGGGTAGCCCTGCAGGCCTGCTTCACTGGGATGGTCTGTTCTTGCCACCCGTCCCATGGAACGTGAGGAAGGAATTTGGGGTGTGGACTTCCTTGAGTGACTAGGATTAGACCCGTCGGGTCTGCAGTCAGACGAGAAGCGTGTGGGCAAAGGGAACTATTGTGTGAGGCCTCTCCGGACAGAAAGCCTGCCTTCATCTTTTACTGTGCCTAATGGACAATTGAGACATTCAGCTTATGTCTGAAAGGAAAGTGGGCCGGGATGGTCTAGCAGACCTCCCAGATGAAGGCTTGTAGGAGAAGCAAATAGAGACAAGGATTACCAACAGGGGGAACAACTGGGGCAGAGTCCTGGGAGAGAATGTTTATTTCCTTGCTCTCTAGGAGGGATTTGGAAAGAGCCATAATCCTGGGTTAGGAGTAATTTGTTACAGCAAGATGATACTTGAGTGACAGGCTGCTTCTGGCTGAGGCAGCAAGACTTGCATGCAGGGGGGTCGTGGGCCTCCAGAAGGTCAGCCTCCCGTAAATCTCCACCCCGGCTTTGGGGTTTGTTTCTCCCCAAGCAAAATTAACCAGAGGCACTGCTGACCTTTGGGCTTCCTGGGTGTAGCGTTACGAAGCATCTCCACATGCTTGTCACAGCTAGAATTTGACAATAAAAATTTGGACGGGGAGACCCTGCCAGAGCCACTGACCTCTTTCCAGTGTGACAAGGGGGAAAAAATAAAAGGAAAATGTAGCGCGGGGTGCGGTTTCAGTTGAAGTTGGGAGGACACGGAGCCCAGCTTGTCTCGCATTTGCTGTCTATGTAGACTCACTAAAGCAAGTTAATTCATTGCTCTTTGACCGCCAGGTCTTTCGTTGTCTTTTGTTGTTGTGGAATGGGTGAAAGAAATACAGAATGGGGAGGAGAACCTAATTAGAAAAATTAAGCCTTGAGAGCTCCCAGCCATGGAGACAGAAAGGGATTTTTTAGAAGTTGTGATTTTAATATCTGCTGCAGTCTGATGATTCATGGATTTAAAATAACCCTTTCAGGTCACCAGGACCCTGTTACTTGCTGGCTTTGTACCTCTTAAAGGTCATTTGTTGGCTTCATCTCTAACAATTTCCATGGTAGACCTAACATTTCTGGCTGTTAAATCCCCTGTGTAGAAGAAGAAATAGCAAATCTTAGCTGCCTTGGACCTGATATAATTCTTTGTCTTCATTCCCATGGTTTATCCTTGAAGGTTGAATAAATGATGTGGAAGCTAGTCGAGGGACTTCAGGTAAGTGATTTCATGCCCACTTTTTTTAGGTAGAGAAACTGAGGTCACAGGGTGGTAGAGAATGGGCTGTAAGACTCCGGTTTCTGAATTGCCTGTGGTTTTGTTGACTCAACTGCTCTTCTGTTATTTTTTAGCCACATGCCTTGAAACAGTCCTCTCTCCCATGTTTCTTCATCAGCACCATTAACCCAAGGTATACTGTCCTCTCTTATCTTTCACAAGGTCTTGGAGTTCCCATGCCTTTGTAAGCATCCCTCCCCGAGATCCAGCACCAACCAAAATCACATTTGGAAAAATCGCTTGCTTCCCAAGAAGCTTTGGAGGACATGATTTTGTATAGAATGGCTTCACAGGTTTTCTGTTCATTCCTTTATGGTGGAGTGTGTTTGTGTATGTGACTCTGTCTTCTCTCCATCCCTCTTTTTTTTTTTTTTTTCCCCCCTGAGATGGAATTTCACTTTTGTGGCCCAGGTTTGAGTGCAATGGCGTGATCTCAGCTCACTACAACCTCCACCTCCCGGGTTCTAGCGATTCTCCTGTCTCAGCCTTCCAAGTAGCTGGGATTGCAGGCATGTACCACCACACCCGGCTAATTTTTGTATTTTTAGTAGAGACAGGGTTTCATCACGTTGGTCAGGCTGGTCGCAAATTCCTGACCTCAGGTGATCCACCCGCCTTGGCTTCCCTAAGTGCTGGGATTACAGGTGTGAGCCACCAAGCCCAGCCTCCCCGTCGTCCCCTTTTATCTATTAAATGAATGTGGTCACCATCAAAGATGGTGCCTAACTCTTTTTTGTTTTCAGTTCATCTTAAATTCGCATGTAATTCACATGTCATAAAAGGTACCAATTTAAAGTGTACAATTCAGTGGTTTTTTAGTATATTTAGTATATTTACAATATTGTACAAACATACCAGTATCTTAATATTTTTGTCATCCCCAAAAGAAACCCTGTAACCCTGGCAGCCAGTCTCTACCCACCATCCCCTCAGCTCCTGGCAATCACTAATTTACTTCCTATCTCTATGGATTTGCCTGTTTTGGTTATTTCATATAAAAAGAACCATACAATATGACACTGTCTTGGTCTGCCTTTAAGTTAGCATGTTTTCAAGGGCTGCCATGTTGTGGCATGTGTCAGTACTCCATTTGTTTTTATGACTGAATAGTATTCCATTTTATGGCCGTACCACATTTTAGTTATCCAGCTACCGGTTGAGACTTGGTGCGTTCTTATCCCAGAACATACCATATTCAGCTCCCAGTGACACCCACATTTATTCCTGGACTGCTCCATGTCTTCCAGCTATTTTCCTGGTTTCCCATTGCCTCTGCCTACTTCAGCATGCTGTACAACTAAAACATTCCAATTAACTGCATTGTACTCGGCCTTTTTATAAGAAGCAGTAATTAGAAAATACGGTGACCACAAGGTTGATATTAAAATGAAAGATTATAAATACTTTTCTGCCTGAAGGTAGATGGCCTCTGGCCTGCCTCTTAATGGGAGGTTCCTCCAGCAGCTTGCAAGCATTCATTATTTGTTAGTCATCAGCTTAGCGGCCATGGGGCATGAGCCTGTCTTGCTTTGTCTGGAGGCTGAAGACTTTGAGTGACATGGGAGGGCAAGGGCTGCTCCTTTTGAATTCTTCCAATGTCTTCATGTCATTTAACCTCCTGGCTTAGGGACTTGTGTGCTGGTGGTGGAGCTGGCATTTGCTTGGAATCCACAGCCCTTTGGGTGGGACTCAATCTTGGGGTTGCCTGAAGACTTTGAGATGGCTAGGTCTGGGCCTTTTCTGGTCACAATGGAGGAAGACTATCTCAGAAGCCAGAGTCTGTCTCACCAGCCCCCCGTCTTGGGACTGCACCATTGCAGGGTCTTTGCCCTCCCCTGGAGATTTCTCTCCTGCCTGGGCACCCATTGACCATTCTACCTGTGAGCTCAGTAGGGTGTAGGCAAAAGAGTTCTGTCCTGGAAGTACCAAAGTCCTGCATTCTGGTTTCAGTCTCTCATAACTGTGTATAACTAAGTCACTTAATTTTCTCTGCCTCACTTTCTTCTGTTTTAAGATGGATTTGGAGATTATTGGCTTTGACCACCTAGAAAGAATGTAGTGACAATCAATTTGAGGTCTAAAAGAGCCTTTGAGGAAGTAAAATGGAATCTTCAAATGGACTACATGCTGATTATTGACACTGCCCTAGCACCGATAGTTGATGCTAATGACTGATCATCAGAATTGCTTGGCAAGTTGGAAAAAAATACATACAGATCCTGGGCCACTACCAAGTTTCATTTAACAGATCTGGAGTGCATCAGGAAAAAAGTCCCTCTAAACAAGTCGGCAAGGTTTGGATACTGTGCAACCATTTTTTTTTTTTTTTTCTTTTTTGAGACGGAGTCTCACTCTGTCGCCCAGCCTGGAGTGCAGTGACCGGATCTCAGCTCACTGCAAGCTCCGCCTCCCGGGTTCACGCCATTCTCCTGCCTCAGCCTCCTGAGTAGCTGGGACTACAGACGCCCGCCACCTCGCCCGGCTAGTTTTTTGTATTTTTTAGTAGAGACGGGGCTTCACCTTGTTAGCCAGGATGGTATCGATCTCCTGACTTCGTGATCCGCCCATCTCAGCCTTCCAAAGTGCTGAGATTACGGGCTTGAGCCACCGCGCCCGGCTCTTTTTTTTTTTTTTTCTTTTGAAATGGAGTCTGGCTCTGTTGCCCAAGCTGGAGTGTAGTTGCATGATCTTGACTCACTGCAACCTCTGCCCTCGGGTTCCACCAATTCTCCTGCTTTAGCCTCCCAAGTAGCTGGCATAACAGGCGCCTGCCTCCACACCCAGCTCATTTATATTTTTTGGAGAGATGGGGTCTCACCATGTTGTCCAGGCTGGTCTCGAACTACTAATCTCAAGTGACCCGCCCACCTCTGCCTCCTAAAGTGCTGGAATTACAGGCATGAGCCACTGTATCTGGCCCTACTTACCTTCTTTGTGTTAATTCCTGCACCATTGATTAGCTTATTGTCCCATTGACTGTGTCTTTAGATGACTTCTCTGGGCCTCAGAATATCTAGTCCATAGCTGACACAGAGCATATGCTGAATAGTAAATGCTGCGGGAATCCATGCATTGAAGTAGAAAGAGATTTTTAGATCATGTTCCCCATTTCTTGCTACAGACTTAGGCAAAGAATGGAGAAGAGATTGTCCAATGAAGAAATGAAGTGACATGCCAGGTCAATGACAGAGCTAGGCCTGGAAATAGGTGTCCAGATTCTTCCCTTTCTACCATGCTTTTCCTGGGAGTACACACTCATAATTTGAAGAGTGACTTTTGGGGGAGGATGGAAGGAAAGCCTGGACCTCGGCCTAAGGGGCCCATTGGTTGTGAGAGGAGGGTCTGGTGAAATTCCACACCGATTTGTGCATGTGTGAGCTGCTGTACCATAGCCTCCCTGCAGAACCACTAACCTGGCAAGTGCAGAAATAGTTTAGGGACAGGGATGTTGAAGGATTGGCGGGGTAAAGAAAACAGTGAATCCCAAGTTTTGTTAATTGGATTTTTTTGATTGTTAGTTGTTTTGCTTCATTGTCTTCATCACACCAGGGGCCTCCTTAAATCTGGTAGAAAAATTTTCTTGGAAAACAATTCAATGGTTTTCCATAGGGCTTAGGAGGGGGAGATGGTCGATGCTCGAAAGTCTTGCTTATTACTTTGGGGACACTGAGATGTTCCCTTCACCGTGTACTTTGAGACGCACATCCTGATTGAGTTCAGGCAAAGACGCCTAACAGTTGATAAGAAAACTGGGAAAGACAGAAGGGGTTTGTAAGGTAAGTCAGGGTGAGTGAAGACACATTGGGTGTGCTGGAACCCTAGACTCTTGACTGCCACTCGCCCCTGTCACCTCAGGCAATCTGGGTCTTGCTCTGTTGGCCTTAGTTTCCTCCTTGCTACTAACAGGTTAGTTCCACCTTTCTGCCCATTTATTTTGTAGGGTTATTGTGGATGTCGTTCTGAACTCTGAAATACCCTCTAAATATGAAGTGATACAGTATTAGTGCTCTTTACATGGTTATGATTAAAAATATTTATGAGAAAAAGGTTAACTATAAGGATTTCATTGAAAATCTTATAACAACCAACTGATAGAAGATAAGGCTATTAAATTGTTCACACAGATGCCTTGATATCCTACGTTTCTTTCCCTATATTCCTTTTATGTGAGAAATGAGATCGTGATTTAAGGGAAAAACTTACGAGTTCCGACTATGTTGGCTTTTTTTCCCGCAAGTCAACCTTAATATCTTACTTAAATCTTCCCTTCCCTTCCCCTTCCCCTTCCCCTTCCCCCTTCCTTTCCCTCCCCCTTCCCCCCTTCCCCTTTCCCTTTCCCTTTCTTATTTCTTATTTCTTTTTTCTTCTCCCTCCCCCCCTCCTCCTCCGTCTTCTTTCTCTCTCTTTTTTTCCTTTTCTCCTCTTCTTCTTCTTCTTCTTTTTTTCTTTTTTTTTTTTAGACCAGGTCTTCCTCTGTCGCTCAGGCTGGAGTGCAGTGGCACCTTCTTGGCTCATTGCAACCTCCGCCTCCTGGGTTCAAGTGATCCTCCCACCTCCGCCTCCCAAGTAGCTGGGACCACAGGCACACACCACCACACTCAGCTAATTTTTTTTTTTTTTTTTTTTTGGTAGAGATGGGGTCTTGCTATGTTACCTAGGCTGGTCTTGAACTCCTGGGCTCAAGCAATCTTCCTGCCTCAGCCTTCCAAAGTACTGGGATTACTGGCGTGAGCCACCACACCTGGCTTGAAATTTTTCTATGACTTTATTCTTTCTCCAAGTCCAGAGTCTACCCAACCTTCTGAGATCTTTGGTTTTCTTTTCCTAGGTAACTATAGTACATACTTATTTATGTCAAACAACAGAAATCACATATTTCTGAACTTCTTTTTCTATACAATCATGCTTTCTAGGCAAGTAAAATCTCTGTTTTAGGCTCT